TAGTAGATATAGGCAAAAAAACGGGAGGGTTTAGAACCACTTTAATTAGGGTAAGTGGTATATTATTTTATACTGGAAGATTGCTTTGGAATATCTATAATTACATAATATGCATGATTTGATCTTTTCTATGTGAGAGGTCACATAAAATCCTTTCCAATTAGTGATTAACAATATATTGTGGACAAAAGGTGCCTGCTAAAAGTGTCAAGCTCACAACAGAATTACTTCTAACTACAAACGTCAAAGCTTAGCAAGAATAGGTTAATTGACAACTAGTAGTAAGCCTAGGCTATAAACCCAGATGTCAAGCAGCAGGAGATAATAGAGTTATGAGGAGGCCAACCACGGCTTGAACTGCAGGTGCATCTGCACAAATAATGCAAATATGATTTGTCAAGAGACAGGTCTAAAAACATACAAGAACGAACAAACTACCAGCAAAGCCTGACATTTACCAAGGGGATGATTTACAAATGCCATTCCCATGACTTTCCTGCCACTAGATGGAGTTTGAGTCATGGCAGCCGTTTGGAAACCACTCATACCAAATCAATGCACATAGATACATAAGCTGGAGTAAGGAGGCTGAATGAATATATTTTCAGTCATCTTTCTATTGAGTTTACAGTGAAGGAAGTAAAAGTATATGTTCAACTCACAATGTCTGTTGCATTCTCTAAAACATAGTATGGCCATTATATGCTCTTGTGGTTGCTTTCCATGGTCAGATAACAGTGAAGGAATGACCTTACTGTACAAACACTATTCCTTCATAACATTCCAGCATGACAATGCCTTAATATGCACTGCTAAACAAATCCAAGAGCAGTTTTACAAATGGCAGGATAAGGTTTAACACCTCCAGGACCTCCTAATCAATAGATCTACATGCTGAACCTTTATATGAAACAAAAGGACTGATTTAGGTTTTTACCTTAAAGGCTTTGAGGAAAATCCTTCTATACACAGTCCAAACCTGTATGCTAGCATTCCATGGAGGATTTAAGCTGTCCCAGATAAAACCATTTTAGGTTCTTGATATGAAAATGTTAGTGCATTTGTACCAATCGGCTCCCAGGCCCTCCTTATTACTGCCCACCTTGTCCGGGGCCAGGCAGTGTTTAAAGTCCAGACTACTAGCCATGTATTCTGATCTGCATCTCTTCATGACGTACTGGCCCTATTCAACTTGTGTGCTCCGTTTAGAGCAGTGTCTCTCAACCTTTTTTTAGTCATGGCACCCTTTAAAACAATACAAAATCTTGAGGCACCCCAGTCTAATATTTAATGGCTTCTAAAGGAGGGACCCCAAACAAAAAAGTGGGGCTCCCCTTTAAATCCAGAGCCCCCTTTACATCACAACCCTCGTCACATCAGAGGCCCCCTTTATATCAGAGCCCTCTTCACATCAGAAGCCCCCCTTTACATGAGAGCCCCCTTCACATCAGAAGCCCCCTTTT